CAACCCAAAGCTTTGTTAAGTTGCTGACTGAAATGGATTATGCTGTGCTTAAGTAGCAAATCAACAAACTGTAGCAATTTCTTAACCAATTTTCGCCATCATTCCTTGTTTTCTTTCGATGGAAGTATAAAATCTTGCATAACAAAATTTGTTTTTAAAGAACTACTTGACATGTTGAAAATGTCCTTTTCCCCTGCACTGTTTCATAGCCCTGGTTATGAATTTGTTTATTCCCAAAGTTCTGATTTTTTTGCTTTTCTTTTTTAAACTAGTGCAGCCCAAAGGGATTTTTTTTGGTTGTTGTTTTTCTTTTCTGGCACCTCATTTGGACTTCTTGCCTTAGGAAGTTGCCAGTGATGGTGTGGGAAGTGCTGTTGTGAGGTGCTTTATGAAGCCTCAGTGTAATACCTCCAAGTCAATGTGATTATTTGGATATAAGCCATGTATTTTCCCCATTTCCTTTGTTTCCCAGTGATCTGTTTGATGAAATCTTGTTTCTGAGGTGAATATTTGCACTCCAATTTGCTGGCATAAAGGCAGTGTTGTATTGGGTGTCCACTGCTTCTAACCATGAATTAACTACATTTTGTATTCTTTGCCACAGGAAGTGAATATTTGTTTATGGTTTTGTGGTACATGAAATCTGATCATTATTAATATGCAGATCAGACTTTTTGAGAAACAAAACCAGAAACTATTTCTCTCACTTAAATATTATTTTGTAATGGGGTTTATGCATGAGTCTTTCAGTTTGACTGTTTTTTCTGGGGACAACTAAAACAAAGACATTTATACTTAAAAGTAATAGAGTAGAAACTCTGTCCTTTAGAAAGGATCCTAATTCTAGGACTAAGGAGTCCTGCAGTACATTTTTAGAAGCCTTTAAGGATGGAAGCAGCTTCTCAGAGAAGGTTCCAGTGTTTGCAGGCCCTGTGAGTGATGGAGCCCTCTCCCCTGTCCCACAGGAGCCAGTCTCAGAAGGACCAGTCCCCTGGGTCAGCAAAAGCAACGTCACCTTTGTGGCAGAGCAGGTCTCTCACCATCCTCCAAGTAAGTTGTGACAGTGCCTTTGCCAGGAGAGGTGGCACCTGGAGAGGGGTGACAGTAAAATCAGCTCTTGGCTTAAATCTTGGATTTGCACTTTCTTTCCAGACTTAAAAGCTGAATGTTTATAAAAAGACTTAAAAATTATAAACTGCTTTTGTAAGAAACTAATTGCAAACTCTGTTGTCACATAAGTGTGAGGCACCTGGGGATATTTCCCAGAGAAGGAATTTGGAAAAAAAGGTATCAGTGTCTTGTGCTGCTGTTTTTAATACCTGTTTCTCTCTTCAGTTTCAGCATTTTATGCAGAGTGTTTTAGCAAGAGGATACAGTTCAATGCTCACATATGGACCAAGTCCAAGTTCCTAGGAATGTCTATTGGGGTTCATAACATAGGGCAAGGTATGTGTGTGTAAACTGAACACCAGAGGAGAAATTAAATTCTGCAACTAGGATTTTTCATATAAAAATTTACATAAATTATTTAAAGTCATCATACTAAAATGTAAGCAATTATTGAATTTATGTAACTGGAGCTTATGTATCTAAATTAGAGATTCCTTCCACATTCTCTGTGTGCTGAAAACACCTAGGGCCCGGTTTTTCCCAAAAATACAGCCATCCCTGGCTCGTCCAGAAGCTGGGCATTCTCAGCATCCATTAAAAATGAAGTTCCTCGCCTTTCCTTTTCATGGCATGTGTTTTTAATGTATATTTCATGAGATCATTATGAAAAGTTCTTTAGAGGTTTTGCTTAATGTTTTTCAAATCTATTTTTATTTTTCTTTACAGGGTGTGTTACATGCCTAGATCATGATGAACACTATATTTTGACTTTTCCTAATGGCTATGGAAGGCAAGTAAATGCTCTAATTGGTGTTTTCATTTTTAATGCCTTGTACTGTTTCATGCTTAGTATTTATTGGTCCGTAGCTTATCATTGTGGGCATTTCTGTGTTTCTAATTGCAGGTCTATTCTCACTGTGCCATGGATAGAGCTTGGGGGGGAGTGCAGCATTAATTGTTCAAAGACAGGTTACAACGCTTCCATCGTCTTCCACACAAAACCATTTTATGGAGGAAAGAAGCACAGAATTACAGCTGAAATTTTGTAAGCAGCTTTCTTCATCTTGCTTTTTCCTTCCTTAAATGCCAACAGTTTTAACAAGACAGTCAAGAGTGTAAAATGCTGAAGCAACAACACCCAAAAGAACTTAGCTAATCATTACCTGTCATGGAATTGGCATTTTATAGCCAAATTTGTGAGAGGAAGCTGCACAGGCCTGCATCCTACTTTATGCTGCTTGCAAACATCCTCAGCTGATTCCCAAAGGGAACTTTGCTCCCCTGAATTATCAGCAGTGACTCCACCATTACCTTTCCTACAAATACAAATACTGCAGCAAGCCTTGGGATACTGCTCATAGTGTGTCAGTTGCAAACTTCACGTTATTTTTACCTGTGATTTAGTGGGTTTTGATTAAGCCCTGTGCACATACATACCCAGCACAGAACATTCAGTGGAGATTCCCATCATATTTGGAGATGTGCTGTGATGCCAGCAAGTGGATGCTGACAAAATGAGGTTTAACTTGGTTTTACATCATTAACACATTGATAGATGCCATTGAAAAACTGGTGTCTTGTGTTTCCCAGTAGTCTGGAAACCTTTTTAAGCTTAAACTCGCCACCCAAAATCTGTGTGGAAGGCCTGTAACTGCTTTCCTAAACTCTAAATGCAGATCCAGCCCTCGGGCAAGGCCTGTTTTACCCTGACCAAGTGCTTCCTGCTAAGTTTTATGTAACTCACTCATGCCAAACTGCCTCCTTGTAAACAGAACCCTCCTCTCTTCTGTGCTGGGCATGGACACTTTGGCTGATGCAAACCAGGCTTTACAGAAAACCAGGTTTTGATCCTTTAGGATTTTTCAGTTGCTGTAATACAGCTGAGAAATGGCTGTTTGTTTCTTTTTAGTTCTCCAAATGACAAGAAACCCTTCTGCTCCATTGAAGGAGAATGGAATGGGGTCATGTATGCAAAGTACTCCACAGGGGTAACACAGCTTGCTTTATTTTTTCTCTTTTCATCAGAAATACAAGATTGTACTTAGAAAGGGGGGTTTGGGGTGGTTTTGTAGGTTTGGTATTTTATTTTAAACAAACATTAAAAGTTAGAACCTCCTATGAGGCTGTCCAAAAGAATGCTGAACTGGGGATAAAACTTGTTCATTTATTCTTAAGGAAGCTTGATTTTTATACAATAGAATCTGAAGAATTACCCTGTTTTATGTATTTGCTCCTAACCAGTGCATTAGAGTGTGAGGGTGTATATGTTTGAAGTCTAGCTAAAGAATTGAATGGGTTTATTTCTTTTTCATCTTCTACTCCAGGAGAATGCTGTCTTTATAGATACCAAGAAAATGCCTACAATAAAGAAGAAGGTAAGGAAATTGGAGGACCAAGACGACTTTGAGTCTCGCTGGTAAGAACTTCAGTTAACTGGGAACATTAAGATTTTATTTCAGTTAGACTCTGGTTTGCAGTACAGGGACTAAGGCTGCTCTGCTCTCCCTGAGCCCAGGTACAGGCAGGCTGGGGATTTAAGGGGGAAGAGGGGACCTGGAGTTCTCAGTCGCATCCTAATTGGGATCAAATGTTCAGGGAAGTCTGGAGAGCTCCACCACAGCCTCCTCCCTCCTGCATAACAGAACAAATGTCAAATATCCTGAGGGCTTTTCTGCCCTTTCTCTAACCAGAGATCGACCTTTATTCACTGCTATGTCTCCAACTTGTGGCACTCTGCTCCCATAAAAGCCTCGCTTGCCCTTTCTCTTTCAAGCTTATGGAAGGATGTCACCTACAACCTGAAGATCAGAGACATCGACGCAGCCACGGCTGCGAAGCACGCGCTTGAGGAGCGGCAGAGAGCCGAGGCCAGGGCCAGGAAGGAGAACGAGACCTCGTGGGAAACGAGGGTGAGCTTTGTTCCAGCCTTTGTTCCTTTCTGGGAGTCAGGAAAAGCTCACCTGTGGTTATTCCTTCGCAGCTGTTCCACGAGGATGGGGAGTGCTGGGTGTACGACGAGCCGCTGCTGAAGCGCCTGGCTGCCAGCAAGCACTGAGGGCAGCGTTTGCAGCTGAGCCACCATGCAGGTACCTGGCACAGCCCCACCCCTCCAGTGCAGCGGTTCCTATCTCAGGGATACTGGACTTACTGAGACAGACAAAGCAATTCACCAGAGGCTGAGCAGCTCCAGGCAGGGACTGGCTCAGGTCCTGCTCCTGCTGCCTCTGGAGCAGGGAGAGGCTGGCCCTGGGGCACAGACACTGTATAACCACTGTGAAGGCCACGGCGGTGGGAGCAGCTGGGGAATAATCCTGGGTCCTACATATTTAAAAAGCAAGGAGCAAAATGCAAGGTGTCATTTAAATCTCGCTGATGTTTGCAATGTGTAAATATGAGGATTCCTCTGATGGGACAGTTTGTTAGACAATGCTACATAAATGTTATCTTCCACCTGTATGATAATCAAATCTTTTGGCATTTCAGTGTCTTGCCCAAAATAACTGTTATTTTGAGATTGAAATGTAACCATAGATAATTCTACCCAATGCATCTTAAAGCTTCATAAAATAGATTTTTCAAACTTCTCTTATGGACTTTTTATTTATTTCATAATAAACCTTTTCAGGAAGACCATTTTTCAGTTGAGTCATGATAAATTAATTATGTGAAATGTATTAGCGGTATTTGTTTTTCCACTGGAATAATCCTTGCAGCTAGCTTAACCTACTTTTTAAAGTAGTTCATGAAATAGCAAAATTAGCATCCACAGCAGTTTTCTGTACTCTATATCCAGCCTTGCCAGCACATCAGGAACCGCTGCATTTTGCCACAGTTAATAATGATTGAGTAAGTAGCTAGATGTAGCAATCAAACTACTTCTCTCTCCACAGTTAGGTCTAGCTTTTATTTGATTTCATCTTAATTTTGTCTATGTTGCACATTCAGAAAAACTAAAAAAGCAGTGTGAGATGGAAGCCTTGGGCTTTTCTCCCCCTCCCACCCACTGTCACTGCTCTGGGAGTGCTGCAGATCCTTTCCTGAGGAGCTGTCACTGCTGTTGAGGAGCTGCTGCAGCACTGCAGGGATGGTACAAGCCAGGCTGAACACAAAGGCAGAGCCCAAGCTCCAGACAGCTGGAGAGGAGAACGTGGCACCCGTGGGGAAGTCAGGGCTGTGCCTCTTCTTAATGAACTTGGAAAGGTGATGAAAGGTTGGCTGGAAACTTGAGGAAAGCTTCCTCAGTGTCTGAATGGGCATCTGCATCCCAGCTACCACTACAGCTCTGGTTTAATAAAAACAGGTTTGTGATGTTGATGTTGCAGAAAGCACCTGTATTACACAGCAGGGCAGGGCAAGGTATCAGTTTTATTTCAATATTTTGTGGTAAGGGAGAACATTCAGCGTTGATGTGTAGGCTTTGATGTCCTTGATGGAAGTAATGTCACGCATCACAGAGGGGGGCAATAAAACAAGATGAGGTATTTCACCAGATGAGTTCTGTCCTGAGACAGCTGTCACCTCTGAGTCCCCTTCATGCTTTCCATATCCAATCACCTGGAAAAAAGGTACCAGAAGAGAAATTGGGATCTCATTCAGTGTTTCTCTACCTTGACAATTAACTTGATACTAAAATGCAATTCTAACAAGAACACTACTTGTAAATGAAAAAAAATATGGATAACCACAGTAAAAGTTACATCACAGATCTCTCCCTCCCTCTCCTCATCCCTACCACACCCTGCTTACTGAAGGTGGCAGCAAGAGCTGACAGACACTCACATGTACACTGAGCACTTTCCTCTGGTCGCTTCTGTGAGCTTGGAACCAGTTGACCAGGTCTGCTTGTGTAATAGACTTGAGAGCTTCAATCTGAAACCCACAGGAAGGAGATTTTAGCAGCACAGTGGCAATTCAAATAATTTTAAACAACATTATTTCCTCTGCAACCTCTACTCCATTGGATAAAAGAACCTTTTTAAAATAACATGTAATTTTAGACCCAGTGTGTCACTAGTAGCATAAACCCCGTTTATGCTTTTGAAGCTGCTGCAACAGCAGTGTGGTTTTGTGTCCCACAGCTGCAGAACACCCACCTCCCGTGCCAGCCTGTCAAACAGGTACTGCTGGGTCACCACTTCATTCCAGTTCCTGTCCACTTCTTCCCCAAGGTGGGAGTCTTCACATTCTTTCAGTTTTATCAAAGCTGTTACCTACATGGGAAAAAGACAATTAGTTTTAATGGGTTTAAAACTACCTTAATTTGCCATCACAGTCACTGCAGTTGAAAGAAAAGCTGAATTACATGAATGAGGTAGTTCCTTGCTTTTTGAGCTTAACTACAAATGGCCAGAGAATGGATGTATAGAGAACAAGAGCAGAACAGAGCAAGAGGCAGGTTTTAAAAGGTGAGGTCTTTGTCCAGAAAACCTCAGAAAATCACCACATAGCTGTAACTGAATCATGCAGTTCAAAGAAGAGCTTTTCAATATTTTACCTGGGTGCTAAAAGCCTCTTCAGTTAAATCCTTGATTTTCTCTTCAAAGCAAGAAAGAAACTCCTCTATCTTCCTGTCAACCAATTCAGAACTAAAAGAGAAACAAATAATTAAATTAGGCAGGAAAAAAAAAACAAAACAAAAAAATCCTCAAAACAATATTAAGGGGTAAAGTAGCAGCCCCCATATGATGAGGAAGTGAGAGGCTCATTTCTGTCATCCCCTGAAAACTCATCTGAGAGCACCTGGTGGTCAGTTTTTGCAGTGCTCTCATTTTCAGCAGTACACAGGAACTTCAGGTGCCCAGGCACCCCAGGAGCCACTGCTGTGCTGCTGCTCTGGTGTCCCCAGCTGCAGCCCTGAGCCCTGCAGAGTTAGGGGCTACAGGCTGGGACTGAAAGAAAATGTGATGTGATGGATCCAGAGGTTTCTGACACATTGAAACCCTCACTGATGACACAGACCTCAGTAGTGGAAGTGTCCAAATGTAAAAATTAGAGGCAGGCAGCACTGTGCTAATTGAGCTTTCACTGACACAGTGTTATTTTAAGTGGCACATTTTCCAAATAACCCTTCAACTCTGGCAGATCAAATGCTTGTAGTTCCAAGGCCCAGGTTTGAACAAAACCATAACAGTGCTGTGCCTGCTGAACATGAGCCACAAGAACAGCTAGACAGGATTTACAGGATTTGAACTCCCTGGCAGAATAGCTTCAAAATGGCAGGGAGATAGATATTCTACTTAGTCTTGAGATTACTTTTCACTTTTCAAGTCAGGACCACTGCAGTTTTAAGAAGCCTAAGGCTACTGCTTTATTCAGGCGTTGGTTTTGAATCAGGATACTGTGACTCTCAGCAGTGTCCCTTCTGACATCCCCTTGAATTAAAAAATCCCTCTGTGGCCTGAAACAGGAGGGAACTCTTAACTGGGAGCAGGTGACCCCCACAGCCAGGGAAAACTTTCCCCACAGAGCACTTACTTGTATTTAGTTGCCTGGGTTGCCACTGTGACTGAGAAGCCAAGAATCCCAGAAGTGTTTCTGCAGGTGGGGTACACGTGGTAGCTTAAAAGAAAAAAAGACACAAGCACAATTAACTTTTCATTTAGAGGACATGCTGCAAGTTAAAGTAGTGTTGGTACTTTAGACAGAAAAATCTGAGATCTAAATTTGCAATAATCTTATTTTCTTTATTTTCTGCACTGCTTTTTGGTGTTTTCTCAGCTTTAGGAAATCCTTTTAAACTTGGGAGTATTTGGGTTCCTGCAAACTCATCTAAGCAGAGTGAGAGACCCAGAGCTGTGAAAAGCCTGCTCCAGTTTCCTGAGGTAGCAGGGTTCCTCTGAGGGAGGCTGCTCAGCACCACAGAGCTGTGTGAAAACAGCCCTGGGGAAGGGGGGGCTGAGTGTGGAAGTGCAAGGAACAACTTTATGCTGAATAATTCCAAGTTAACACACTGGTAATAGATGCAATTGTTACAGAAGGCAAAAGCAACTTGGCTTGCACCTTGTATCGATGGGTGCTTTTGGTTTTGAAGTGCTGATGTTGCTGTTTCCATTACAGTAACTGAGGATTAGCCACTGTGCAGGAAGGATTCCCAGAGTAAAACCACCAGAGAACAATCAAAGCAGGAGTGCAGGAGCAGGTGCAGGAGAATTCCTCCCAGTGAACTCACCCAAGCGTCTGCTTGGTCCTCAGGAAGTCAAAGCAAGGCTCCTCCATGTGCATCTGAAACAGCACAAAGGTACAGCAGAGGTGCAGGGGCTCCACACGGAGCACAGGCACACTGAAGTGCCCCTGGCCAGCCACAACCACTGCATTAAGAGGGCTCAGTGGGTTGGGAGCTGCAGGAGGAGTCTCCTGTAGTGTCCCTCGCTGCAGCATTTGGGGACACCCACCAAGCATTTCAGCCAGGGGCAGCAAGAGAACACACTGGGGCCAGGCAGCCTCAGGTCCAGCAGTGTTCAGGGAGACACTGTGCTGAGTTAGGAGGCACAAACACAAACTTACCACAAGCAGCTCCATCAGGGTGTATTCCCTCAGGTTCCTGGCACCTGACTGGAAAGAAAATGAACAATTTAGGGTGAGTTTAATATGATCCCTCAGGCCAGGGTGACTTGTGCCACACACCTCAGCCTGGACTGCAGCACTGAGGGACAATTCACAGCAGGGACAGATGAGAAGTTTTGGTTTTCCCTGAGGGGACAGGCCCAGCCCAGCACCCAAGATCAGAGCTAGGGACACCAGGAAGCCACCACAGCACTAACCCAGCTCCCAGCACCAGTCCAGGAAGGGAAGGTGATGGTTTCAGGGAACCCCCCCCCCCACACACACACACAGGGAATACCACTTGGGTTCAGCCTTGGGGCACAGGGCCTGTGTTCACATGAGGTGTCTGTGTCCCCTCTGTGACATCCCTGTGCAGAGCCTGTTTGAAGGAGTGGTGGCAGAGGGACCAGGCCAGCAGAGCCCCAGCAGAGGTTACCTGGTAATAGACTGTCACCTCGGAGTTGGCGTCGCCCTTGTTGAGAGTTTTCACCTTACAGAGCAGGTGGGTGTTCGGCAAATCCACCACCCGGAACTGCACAGGGCAGGGATGGGCCAGGGGAGCAAAGTGGAGCTTTCTGGGGAGCACAAACAGCACAACTTCAAACACCTGCTCACACCTTGGCCAAAACCAGAGCAACACCCAGCCATTTACACACTTGGTCTGATGTTATTTTCCCCTTCCCCAAACGAGAACTACGTCTGCTTAACCTGCCACCATCAAAGCCACCTCCTGCAAACACCACATTGAAGAAGGGAATTTCTCAGCACTCCCACTCTGACTCCCTCCTCCAGAAAAGAATCTTGATTATAGTTTCCATATAATAAGCAATTAAAGATTCAAGAGATACTCACTGAACAACGTAATTCAGGAAATCTTTTGCTTCCTAGGGAAGAAAGCCAAGACATCAGATTTATTTAGAAGAGAATTACTTCCCCAATTACAACCACACACCCCAGGGCAGCATTTGAGAGAGTGAGCCCCAAGCAAAGAACAGCTGAGCTGTCCTGCTCCCTACATCCCTGCTTCCTCACACTGTCCCCAGTCCCTCCAGCCTCCTCTACACCACACTGCAGAGTCTGCACACTGCTTTTTGCACTGTAATGTCTCCAGAAGGAGAAGGCACAAGCCAAAGAAATAGTACCAGTTATCCTTACTCCATTTGTTTGGCACTCTGTGAGGTTTAACCAAACCATTCAGGCAGTCAAATTCCCAGGATAAACGTTCTGTGAGGGAAGCCTCCTCCTGGGGCACCACTGTGGGAATTTCTCCATATCAAATATATCAATACACCAAACAGTATAAAAAATGGTGGCAACAGGAGAAATAGATTACAGACATCTACTACATTTTTTTCCTATCAGCAGATTAAATCCAAATTCCTGGAAATTTCTGTTCAAACTGGTAACTGGTGAGTGCCATTGGCTTATCCCCACGAGCACTTTGAGGTGCTGGAGGTGAAGCTGCCCAGTACCCACGAGACTCCAGGCTGCCAGAACAGAGGCAGCATCAGAGTTCAGGGTGCTAAAGGCCAGTGTGAGCACTGGTACTGCCAGGGCTGCACTCACCCTGCTGGTGAAGTTCCCTTGCACGAGCCCCTCCACGAAGAGCTGGGACTTGAAGGCGGTGACGAAGGCGGAGAGGGCCTCGATGGAGAGCCCCTTCATCAGCGTCTGGTACTTGTCGATCATGGACCACCGGCCGTGCTCCAGGATCAGCAGCCGCACGTCCCTGGGAACACAAGCACAGCCCCTCAGCAGCTGCTGCCTGCCAGGGACGCCTCTCCTGGCTGCAGACAGGGACAGGGCTCCCAGGAGCCCTGGCTGGAACAGGCCTTGGGAGCACAGAGCAGGGATCCCTCAGCTCCTCAGCTCAGCCTCAGCCTCTGCTGCTCAGCCACTGCTGCCCTCCCCCAGAACTCACTTGGCCAGAGTCTCGGGTTTAATGAGGATGTTGTAGTAAGTTTTCTTCAGCTGCTCGGTTATCATTTCAAAAACTGCTGGAGTAAAGCTGAAGTCGGACAAGTAATCAATGATGAGCTGGAATAGAAGCTGTAAAGAGAACAGTTTAAAAGTTGGCGGTTTTGTTGGTTTAGTTCAATGCTATACAATAATAATAAATTATCATTAATAAAATTATCATCACTGAGACATGGAGCATTACTAAAGCACATTCCTCCATTGTGCCAGATGTTCTTCACTAAACAATTCTATCCCAAATGACCCTTTCAGAAGGGCAGTGTTTTTACACAGTGAATAAGCTCAATATCCCAAATCAATAGGCGTTTCCATATAATATTGAAATAAATCTAGCCTGGAACTCCCAACATTTCTGTATACAGTAATCCATTTTTTCCTTTTACCAGCACAATGACATCACACCAGAGGCATCATTCAGGATTAAAAAAGAGAATATTCAGACCCTGCTGCTTGCATATTTGGCTTTTTTCCATTAAAACTCCTATTACTAAGTCTGGTAGGTGATTAATGGTCTTAAAGCTCCAGGCAAAGCTCTTGCAATGGAAGCTGATGGTTGTCTCCTCTTCACCGTGTCCTCTCTGTGCCTGCCAGGTCTGACATGGCCAGCATTTAGGGAATGGAAACAGGGATACCCCAATTCTCTCAGCAAGCCAACACAGAAAATCTGCACCCAAAATGAGCATGTTCAGAAGCTGGATCTCCATAGTCGAATTTAAACCAAAATCTCTTTTCAGATACCCTTCCCCAGACATCATGCAAATGGCACAACTTAAGAGATGGAAAGGCTCCAATTCTCTTTATGGCCATGGGAGACACAAAGCTCTTTTCATAGGAAAAGCTGTTAAAATTTTAATGGAGATATAGTTATTACTTAAAAGGAAGATTTAAGTCAGCCCGAAGTCAGTAATTTGAGCTTATGTAAGTTCACACAATTCCATCTTTATACATGTAAGCACAATAAAAAGCAGCACATTTACTGCATTACCCTGCCAGAGACCAATTCTTCTATTTAAAGCACCTCATCCAACCATTAAAGCTCCAGAAAAGCACACACTGCAAAGCTGCAGGCGCAAAAGCAGTGAGGGGAGGAGCAGAACTTACAGGTAGTTTGTGATTGAATCCTTTCACTCTGATGATCAGGCCATACTCTCCAGCCACCAGCTTGTATTCCAGCTGAGCCACATCTGCTTCGTAAGCTGGTTCCCCCAGGTTGTGGGAAAGGATGTTTACAAATGTATCAAACAACACTATGCTGGAGGGAGAAAAGGGCAGGGGGTTAAAAAGAAGTCAAAAAAAGGATGGACTAAATATGAAAGTTAAGCCCCATGAGCTTGATGGTACATGCAGTTCAATTCCAACAAAAATTGAAAGTGTAACCTCAGATTCAAAAATAAGTTTTTCAAAAACTTATTAGAAATAAAGAATGCAGGTTTCCCTTTGTGCAAAAAGCACATGACACTACTTAAAAATGATCTGGACATTCAGTTATTCCTTGCAATGTGAAAGATTCCAACTTCACGAGATTTAAGATTACTTCAAGGTAAGAATGCACATTTTAACAAGACAATGCTCAAAACATGGAAAAATCACAGCAAATTAAATTATTATACTTTGTGTAAAGGTGTGGGGAACAGATAGACTCAGTTATGCTCAATACTTGAGTAATGAGATGATTATTTATCTACCAAGGTAAAAAAAATAATAAGCTAGAGCAAAGCAGGCTATACAACCTGGAAATTGCAGTCCCTGGTTTCAGGTTTTTGTTATTGTCTGGATTCCAATTCAAAGATTAAACTAACACACCTCATGAAAACAGATCTAAAAAGGCTTTCCCAAAACATGATTTGTGCAGGTCTTGGCAGGCTTATGACAACAGCACTGTGACACTGGGTACAAGCGTCAATGGCAGCCTGAGGCAAGCCAAGTGCAGCAGACCCAGAACTGCACAGAGCTGCTCTGCCTGACCCACAGTTGGTTTCTCAAGGCTGCTGCAGCCTCTCCTCCTGCTGCTGCAGGCTCCCAGGGTGCTGGGACATGCTCAGGACATGACTGTGCACTGCTCTTTTCAGGAGCAGCTCCTCCTCTGAGCACTGCTGCTGTTACATGCCCTGGGGAATACCACACCATGAACTCCTTACACATCTGTTGGCTACAGGCGGGACCTGCTGCAGAGCCACCATCACCAAACTGCAGATAAAACCCCAAGGAAGGTGGAAGGATGTGAGAAAAGGACACCTTATTCTATTCCTGCTTAAAATAAGTGTCTTCCCATTTTTCACTAGGTATGGTAATTTAGTTACTCTGCAAAGTAAGCATAAACAAGACAATCCTCACTTCTCTGCAGACTGCTGTATCAATGGAGAGATCAGATGGAATCGAACATAACCTGGGGAGGCAAAGGAAATTTCAATGAGCAATTGTATAGAAAGTGACAACTTTCTGAACTCAAATGTATTTCCATCAAGTTGCTCTTTGGTGACAATTCGAGTTTAATGAAAATGGTCATTCATCTATAACACTTTTTTCTTATTTTAAATAATCATTAAATGTTTTCTCCTTCTTACTCCAAAAATCTTCCATTTGAAGTACCAAATAGTAGAAAACAAAGCTGTGCTTTGGAGAATACTCCCATAGCATGACCATCATAAATAGAGATTGAAAACTTCAAGGAACATCTGTTTAAGAGACACTAAAAATTGTGACATTCTGCTTGAAAGCAGCAATATATTTTATACCCTTGTCTCTGATCCAGGCTGTAGAAGAGACTATGTCCCTTGTAATTAATGTGCTCCTTCCTTCTGAAGCCCTTTTCTCAGCAGCATATTCTGTCTGCCCAATCCCGTCCCCACACAGACTGTTCAAAAGTCAGTAAATTTCAGTGATTCCACTTTTCAACCTGAGGTTTCAGCAGGGTATCTTTGTTGCCTTAGCTCACCTGCTTCTCTTTTATTGTAGCTAATAAACATATCAAAAGGACCATGGAAGAGCTGACAGCAAGCACTTCAGTTTAAATGGTGAACATACCACCAGTTATTTGCCTTCAAATAAATTCCAGCTGGTAAAAACGGGGTCTTGCTATTCAGAAAGCCCTCAGGCATTTACCTTTTGGGATTTTGAATTTATCATCCTTCCTGTACCAGAGACAGCCTTGTTGTGTGCTGAGTGTTTTGACTGGATATTCTGTCTCGGGACAGTCAGCAACTTTCAAAGCAAAGTCAGTGGCTAACAAAGAGAAAAATCACACCAAAACCACATGTTAGTGTGTTTCACAGACACAATCAGGCTACATTAATCTAAGTCTTCAAAAGTATCAAAAAATACATTTTTCCCCTCCAGTTTTCTAAATTATTTGTTACAGTACTTTCCTGGACCCAAAGAACATCTCCTTTTGACTTCCACACCAGAACAGTGGCTGAAGCAGAGCAGAAGTGGTGGCATCACATTCCACCCAGGATACAAGTCCTGGCTTTCATTTCATTTGCTTTTGGCAACAAAGCCAGATGGTATTTAGATGCTTTCAGAAACAGGAGGATTAAGCAAATAAAATTCTCTTCTAAGGTGTCTGGAGCTCTGTATTAACTGTCACTGACTGCGAGGCCTGCTCTGTTATATCATCTGTAATTTTATATACCTTAAAATAACTCAGTTCTTAAGCTTATACATAAAAGAAGAGTAAATAAAATCCATTTGAACAGAATGCTCATGTTTTTTTAATTTGCAAAAACCAGTTGATGCCAGTTTAGGTTGTTTCTAAACCACAGCAAATTCTCTAATAAATCACTCGTGCCCAGGTGCCTTACCTATGTATTTGTTTTCCTCTGGAAGGTGTAAATCTGGATTTAACTCAAAGTCACTGTCCCATAAATCACTCCAGTACTTGTCAATATCTGTTAAAAACCATGAAATGCATTAGTTCAACAGGAAGGGAAGGCCATCCTACTTCCAGTCATGTTTTCCCAATCTCCAGAAAGATCTGCAGTATCACAGGGGTTTCTTAACATCACCCCATTCCTCAGGATTCCTTCTAAATCCCTTCCTACAAAAAAATCTTCTGGAGCAGGACTGAAGCAGGCCTATTAAAAAGCAAACCAAGTCTGCCTCGGTAACCCAGCTCCCCCTACACCCTGTGCTCCACTGGTGCTCCTTCCCCTGCATGGCAGCCAAGTGGAGCTCTCTAGGACCTCTGCCTCCCAAAGGAGCTGCAGGACTGGGAATCCACTGGCACCAAACAAACAGCAGGTTTGGGAGGCACAGAGACTAATGGTGAGCTCAGTAAAGCACTGAGGATTCATCTCCCTGTTTCCTGCACTTGTATTTTGTGTTGCCACCCTTTCACTCCCTCTAATGCAGGAATCAGACATTCTCAGCTCCTGCTGCTGTTTTACCTTCCATGCTGTACTGAGTCCCAAACCACTTCTCCTTGAGGTGACACTGGCCTTCGTTGGCAGCAGACAGCAAAACCAGGTTGGCTCTCTGAGGGCTGAGCTGGTTCAGGGCATCAGCAATGATCTAAAGTTCCAGACAATATTTCAGTTTAAATGCAGCTCTGACTGCCTGAGCCAGCAAAGATTTCTCAGTTGGAATGTAGGAAGAACAAGACATAACAAGCTTACAAAACAGATTTGCTTTCTGAACACAAGCATTTCAATTAATACAAAGCCTGTGCCTGCATTATGTTTAATTACAAATGCTTGTACACATGCCTGTATTACACAGTATGCACATGTTTTCCTTACATCAAAACATATAATCAGAGTTCAAAGAACATTTACCTCCGGCTTGTATTCAAACAAGAGCTGGTCTCCTGTCAGAAAATCTTCCTTCTGAAACAACTGCATGTTCTCACAAAGGTTTTCCACATAGTCAACTGGATCTGTCTGCAAGCAAAGAAATAAAGCTATTTGTCACATAATTAGAAACCCAAGATATCAATTTTCTGCTCTGAGAAGAGCCTGACTAGTCAGATACGTTGAGCATGTGTTGGATGCTGTGCTTGTTACAGCATTTCATTTCAGTTATTAAATTAAATATATTTCATAACCATATCTAATGTTCAGCCTCCTCTGAGAATCCTGAAATTTCAGACACATCATCTTTGTAGAAGAAACTTTGATTATGCAGTTTACAGTCATGGAATCTACTAAGTTAAAGACCCAGCAGAATGCACTCCTTGCCTCCAGGGGACACAAGCAGAGCCCTGCAACAATTCAAGATTTAAAGTGACCTGGAAAGCACAAGGCAGGAACAGGGGGAGGTTCTCCTGTTTGAACAAGAAATACACGTTGCCTTTCAGCAGGGGAAGGCTGCCTGGAGGACCAGGCTGCTCAGCTTCTTGCTAAGTGCTTTTGGGCTGTTTGCACCAGCCAGCACAGGACTGCACAGATTCTGGGTCAGACAGAGAGCACAGTACACCTGGAAAGAGCTGAGTTTGGCACATCTGTGTCCTGTAAATGTAGTGGGAAACATGCCCAAGGATTTCTTAAGACACCAAACACCTGAGGAAATATTAAACCTCTCCTGGGCAGCCCCTAACCATTCATGCCAAGCCCTGCCTCTGAGACCATCATTCCTAAGCACAGCTCCCTCCACCAAGCAGAAAACTGGGGTGCCATGCCTAAGTCATTCTTCTGTCCCTGGGATTCACAACCCTGTCACAAAAGCACACACAAATCTATGTTCCTGCTGTATGTAGCATTTGTATGGATGGATTTTTTTTCCCCAAAAGGAAATTTCAGTGCCATTCAAAGAAAAAAAAAAAAAAAGTTACCTAAATGTAGTAGGAGTAAGAAAGTCTAAACTGAAAGAGTCTACCTAGCAGGTAAGGATGAAAAATCAACATTAAATTCTGCTAGGGAAAAATCTCAATATTTCTCTGCCTAGAATACATCTCCTTTCAGCAAAATACAGCCTCATTAAGTGCACAATGTATTTCTTCTCAAATAGAACTTTAAAAATGTGTCTCAAAATGAAAAAGTAATTACTTTTCATGGTTTACCTATTTCAGAACAGTGGATAAATACCTGTTCCTGGTAGTGAAATTCATTAGCTTCAATCTTTTGTATTTCTTCCCATATTCTGCAAAGGAGGAAGAAAATAATAAAAGTGGACTTTCTCCATCATTCCACATTATTTACCAAGAATCTTAAAAAAGGAGCCTTCTAGGAAAGGCATCAATGGTGAGATCGATGATTCATTCAGGTACAAAACACAGAAGCCAATATTAAATGCACTTCCCAAAATGGCATTTCTCAGAACTGGCAGAAAGTTCCTCTATTTTCCAAAGAGAAAGAGAGTTAACTAAGAAGAGTCAAAATCTGATACCAATTTAAGATAAATTTAGGCTAACACCAGAACACCCAGTCCTGACTTCCACAGACCTGGTTCAACCAATTCATTTAAAATGAACACAAAACTGCACCTGACCTTTACACTAGTTCAGCTTACTAAACTGAAGAATCACATCACAGTAAGTGAAACTGAAAACACCAATAAATAAGCATAAGCATCTAGAAAAATTATTTTTAAACTGACATGTTTTCCATACAGACAAACTTTACTAGTGACTCCCTGTTTATGCTCCAGGAACTCCACAAAAAGTACAAACACTACAAAGAACAGGAAAATGGAGAAGGACACCACCACAAATATCTGCTGGAGAGGCAAACACTTGCCTTTGATCTGGTCCCCTCCTCTGCAGCATCTTCACATACTGAAACACAACGTGGGCCACCTGCAGACAGAAAGGAACAAATTCATTTTTCCAGACATCAGGGAAACAGCAGGAAAAACAAGCTGCAGGACACCATACCTCATAGAAATGCTTGTAACCTTCATCAGTCAAAGTCACAGAAATGCTGAAGATGGAGTAAGTGGAGTTCTGTTCAAATCCTGTCTCTCCATTTCCTCCATACAATGCAAGGGCCCAAAACCTATGGAAGAGTGAAAGGTACTTATTAATTAATCCTTCCAGCTTTGGTTGAGCTTAGTTAAAAGTAGTATTTTACAGTGTATCTTTATTTCAGAGACTTTCAATACATTTACCATTTACAGAAAGCTTTGCCAGTTTAAGGATGTGACCTCAGGATACAGAAAACTCAAGAAAAACAATGAAAAAGCTAAGTAACCTTTTGGAGATCTCAAAGATAAGTCAGAGATACTGCTGATCCATGAATCATAGACAAAAAGCCCATTTATTTCTTACTTGGGTTTATCATCACCTTTCAGAATATCACTATAAAACACTGATACAAAAAGCAGGCTTGGCCTGCTTTTACATCTATAGAAAATACAAATACACAAAATAGAGTTTATCTGTATTTTAATGAGATCAAAGCATTTAATAACCATGCTTAAAAACCACATACTTTTTCCTAAGGAAAGAAAGAACACTGCCTTTGCCTTCATGTCCCACCAGCCAGGAAATATAATGAAGAGGCTTCACCCTAAGAGGAAGTTTGGAGGAGATTAGATGCCAGGAGGTAACACATTGCACAGAAAGAATTCAAATCACTGGGCTAATGACTAAAATATGCACTGTCTCTTTTTTTCAGGGCAAGTTTTGCATTTTCAGGCAGAATTAAGAAAATAAGCTGAAAGTGTGGGAGTTCAGAACATAATGACTGATCTGAGTCAGTGAGGAAAGGGAACTGCATCTGCAGCAGTTGAATTCATTTTTAAAATGCCCCCCTAGCTGAACCAAAGTAATCTGTTAGACAAGTAAATAAGATTCTTTGGCTTCTTGTGGAAGTCAATGAATTATTCACAGCATAAACAAGGTAGAAGTAAAATGCAGCACAGTGTACCTGTAATACTGTTCTTGTGGGGGAAGTGCCCAAGTGATGGTCAATGAATGAACCTTCCTGATTGGAACAACTGGACACAAATAAATTAATTAATTAAAAATATACATGATGAGACAGAGATAAGTAATTTTACATAATGCAGAAAGAACAGTTAAAAGCTATTTTAAACCACACAGAATTAGTCTACAAAGTATCTGGATCACCCAGAGAAAATTTCTTTCAGTATTCAGGTATTTAAAACATTGAAATCCATTTCACTTACCTCTGTAAAGCTTGTGAAACTCTGGTGTGTCAAAAGGCTGAGTCAGATGGCCAAAGCTGGGTTTGGGTAAACCACTTAAAAGCAAAATGGAAGTGTGGTGTTACTATCAGGGGTTCAAGGCTACACTGAGATATTCACAGGCATCAGGACTGAGCTTTACAGGGCACCAGAGGGCCTGGGAAGGGCCCTTTTGTAAGGGTGCAGCCCAGCATCCCCCCAGCCCCACACAACTGAGCAACTACCAAGATGTGGATACCACCCCAACACCTCCCCTTCCTTCTGTACACAAGAAGCACAAAACCTGCTTCTGAACAGTCAAGAACAGCAAACAACATCCTGAGTTCACCCTGGGCCCAAGGAATCCTGATGGATTGTCTTGTGGGGCAGGAGGGACAAGGAGGGCTGTGCCCAGGACAGACAAGTGTGTCTCTGAATGGCATTAGGCTCTCACAAGAGCATTTCCAAGCACCACAGAAACAAACATCTTGCAAAAGGGAAAAAAATGCTTTTCAAGTTAGCAAAGCTTTTACAGAACCCCCTTTTTAGAGGGCATATTGGAGTGAAACATTATAAAAAAGACTTATTTCTAACTCATTGCTACCCTAACAGTTAAATTCCAGATACAGTGTTAATTAATTCTGATTCTAATTATTTTTGACACAAAGCAAAGATAAGCAATGTGAAATGATAACCTAAGTTTGAATGACTTATCAAAGTTAAGGTATCAGCACATATTAATCAAACACTGCTTCAAGTTAGCACCACACAGCTCACAGCCTAAATAATTGTTAAGCAGAAATAAAGCCTTCCTGGAACAATTAACAGTGGTCTTTAATTTAAAAAGTTGCCTTCTTTTTTTTTCCAGATAAGAATGTTAATTAACAAATGGTAATTTCCTTTGTTTCTCCAGTAAGAGGTTTTTTTATGTCATTTTAAGAAGAGATAATTTTTTCATTTGCAATGTCTTTATGCATCAAATGAATCTTACTTATTTGGGATTTCAGAGAAGATTTCTGTCACCCACTTTTCCAATGTATCCAGTGTTTCTAAAAAAGAAAGAAGACCAACAGAAATGCAATTTCCTCAAGATCTAAGACAAGTTACCTTATCCCATCAGTTCAGTTATTTCAAAGATGCTGCAAGTCATTGTATTTGAAAACTGCAAAGTTTTAAATTATAAACTTCAAAGCTGTTGGTTTGAGCCAATTCTTAACATTTGTTGAGCTGTATCTGTGGTCACAGCTCTGGGTGTGTGCAGGGTGCTCAAATCCTAGGCTGACACAACTGGGATTTAAAGTTCAGTAGTGTCTGGAGTGACTGGGAGAAGAAATTACTGTCTTAGGGATCTACAAAATCACCAGGACTTGCAACTCATTCCTTGACTCTCCAGATCACACACAGGAATTTTCCCCTCAAACGCAGCCCTGCAGTCCTAAGCATTCCTTCTCCCCATCCTCTTTTCTGAGGGAAATAAGTCACAAACCAGAAGGATTTTTAAAATAAAAACTTTGTTTCTTTAAGCAACCATTTTGAACTCCAAAAGTGATGTTGTATATTAAACAACAGCAGCAAAAAAGGCTGGATGGTGTAGACGGAGGATTCACTGTTGAGTTTGTTTTAGAAGAGAAGGAAATACAAAATTCATCTGGCTGGCTATCAGTTACTACCATTTTTTCCCCAAACACCACAGAAAATATTACAATCCATCACTGGCTCAATGATTATTCAAGAGGCATTCAGCATCCTAAGTAGTTTACTGTCTAGACCAAAATTAAAAGCAAAGGAGAAGAAAAGAAAAAACGCCTCTATTATTACCATCTTCATTTTAGAGATGGAAATTCTAATCAGTTTTAGCATTCAACAAAACTCCTCCCTAAACACAAACCTAACTTGAATAACTTCTGAGAAATGTGTTTCTTTTATTCTCAGCAGAAACAATCAATAGGTCTGCAGTTCTCCACTGAAATAAAATTCTAATCCATTTGTATAGAATTTTTCAAGCTATGGGGGAAAAAATAGAACCTCTACTCCTAGACAAACAAGACAACTGGGAGATTCAGTCTCAGTCTCCCCATCAGTTGCTAAAGAGTTTCACTGTCGATGGCATAGAAATCAGCAGCCTTAATTTATTTAAGTGGTTTGACTCTTCATTGCTACAAGATATTTCTGAAATGTTATCTTTGAGATTTTCCCTTTTGTGTTAATATGGAACCCATTCAAAAAGTTTCTCAAGAAGCAGCAGGATGACAATAAAACAGCCCATTTGCTCAGGTCTTGTTTCATTTGGAAACCAGGCTAAAATCTACATATAAATACCCTCTGCAGGACTGGACAAGCCACTAGACTGGCTTGGGCTACAGCTGGGCTGGTTCCAAAAGCACCAACAGCAGGAATGAGGCTGTTTTTAAGGAGCAACTGATGTTACCTTTAGACTGGACAACCAAAGTCATGTAGTGAGCAGAGTAATGGCGCTGCCAGAATTCCCTCAGCCTGGTGTAGGTGTCAATATTTTTCATTTTGGGCTCATGCTTGAGTGTATCTGCATTACCTGCAAACATCAAAGTGGAGGCAGGGTTAGTTATCCACACAGTGTTTACAGCAGGAACACACACAGTGAGAATTCACTTTCCTCCCGAGGTCTAATGATGGTAAAGCACATTAAAAATACCTAACAAAAATTTGGAGTGAAAGGAGTGTCAAGTGAAACTGGGTATTTTCTGATTTCTGGTTCTTATCCAAAGGACAGCTGATATTTTTATAACAAGGAAGGTCAGAGTCCTCCTGCATTATCACATCTCCCACAGGTTCCAGCTCACTGTGTGTTGCCAGCTATTCCCTCACCAATGGAACTCGCAGAACAGCAGAGGGAAAAAGAAGAGGAAATATGAAGTTCCATGTATGTCACCACAGACATTTATGAAAACAAACTACACTTCAGAGCTAGAACTCACCAATTACATTGCTATTTACACACGCACCAGCACCATGAGGGTGAGGGAGTGAGGACTGGATTGTCGAAGAAAAGGACAAATCTCCATTCTGCTCCCCTCACATGACTGGGAAGGTCTAACTCCCAGAAGTTCAACAGTGAATTATTTACTTTGAAAAGCCTCCTTAGACATACAACTAGAAATAATTTATTTTTCCAGGAAATTCTAATAGCAAAAAAAACTAAGCTTAAGCAAGATGGAGATGACTCAGAGAGCACCACGTTTGTGTTAAGAGGAAGTTCCATAATTATACACCTTGTGCACCCAGTTATAACATCAGCAAAAAGCAGTACCAGAAAGAAAAGTATCTTAAAAAGGAGACAGCTGCTTTTATTCCCAACCACTTTCCTGTAAAATGGATAATTGCTTGAACTCTTCTGAACAAGTTTAATGGTTGCTGTGATATGATAGTTCATGTTAGTGCATCTAACCACTCAAACTTCTAAGTGGTTAAAAGCTTAAGTATCATTGCCATTTTATAACAGAAATTCAGGACTTACCCCAAAAGAATTTCTTCATAGGATGTCCAGGCCTGGCAAGACTCCCAAATAACATCTCCTTTCTGTTTGCATCAGAGGGCCTTGCAAGCTGATACTCTGTTAATTATAAGAATTTGCAGTGGCATGCATCAAAGTTTGACATCATGTTCCCACAAAACAAAGCACAAATCCCAGCCAAACTGAAAAGAAGACATACCACACAGATGCAGTCTGGAAGTTCTTTTGGTATATTAATCAAGTAGTGAAATAAGAAAGAAGACTTGCTAGTAGTAATGAATATAAGAGGAATGAATGAGGAAATGAATAAGAGGAAAAATGTAGCTTATTGCTGAGAAGTAGAAAAAGTGTTAAGAAGGAAAAGTATGTAAAGCACCAACTTGTCCTGTCTGAATGTTCTATGTAAAGTTCAATGGGGACAAAAGGCCATGAATATTATACAGGATCAGGCCCTGCAGTAAGAGCCAGATAACAATTACAAACCTGCTTCTACCATATGTCACACAGAACAAACCCTAGCCTAATAATGAAATAAGAAATTGAAGGGTGAGCAAGATAAGTTTCTAAAAATGCAGTTTTACAACCACTTTACACTAATCTAAATATGGGGCTCTGCCAAAATCAATTCACCCTCCTGAAGTGCATTTTCCCATTCCTGTTTTGCTGGTAATAACAACCATGTACAGCAGAGCTGTAAACTAACTCCTGTGGCTGGGCTCTCCTGCAGCCAGTACAGCAAGCTGACACCATTTCCTGGGCAGCACATTACCACGGTGTCACTGCGAGGGAAGGACTGGTTCTGCACCACCAAGGTGTAAAATGGCTGAAGCTGTTGAAGAACCACACCTTGACTCAAAGGCAGGTCCTTGTTTACACTGACTTTTATCTAAATTTAAAGCTAAAATCACCCACTTTTCCTTGCCAGAAGACAGATAAAGAAAATTACTTGGAATAAATATTTAACCTAGTTGGGGTATCTGCTATTTTTTTCCTAAAACAGTGACATTTCAGAGGCAGTCTTGGAGTATCCATCACATATAAGAAAATCAACACACCACTCACTTCTGTGCCCGGTTTAATTTCTTTCTGGGAAGTGACTTTTTAGTTATTCAGGTGTTAGAATAAGGAGACAAGTAAAATCGCCTCAACTTATTGTATTTACTCTGCACAGGACTGCAGAGAGCTCTGGGGCTGTGCTGGAGCTTAAAGACATTATGCTCACATGCTCGTGTAACTGCCCTGCTAGTTACTGCCAAACCACTTCAGATTATTCATTTCCAATTAATGAAAATGCAAGGGTAAACTCTCACAGTGCTGGCACCACATCTAGTCTTTCTTCCTCTAAAAGGCACTGATGTCTAACAGCCACAAAGCCTCAATTCAGGAGTTTAATCTCTCCGTTAAGTTACGTGAAGTTGCATAGAAGGGGAGTTAAACACAGAAACAATGAACAGTGTTACAAAGTAGGTTTTGGTTTAAGAAGATGGGCTAAACATACAGGAAAAGATTCTCTTACTTACCACTGTCTACAGCCTCCACTTCTCGATCTATTGCATCCCTGATCATTAATGGGTGGATAAAGAATTGTGCCCACCTATGGAACAGAAAAATTCATATACTTTTCTTCAGTGTCTTATTAAACTAGGGTAAAACCCCACTAATTAAATCCAACATCTACTATTTCTGTTTACAAAGTTGCTTGACTTACTACAGGCTATATCATTCTTGACTATAATGTCTTAAAGACAAAAGCAAAGGGCAGGGATTCCCAGCTCCAGAGTGGGACTGAACTGGTTGGATGCAGCAGGATATGGCACTAATGTGTGCAGGATTTTTTGCCTTACATTCCAAGAATGATCACACCAGATGAGACAAGGGATCCACCTAGTCTGGAATCTGGAGCTGATAGGGACCAGTATCAGATGCTTCAGAGGAAATCCCCAGTTGTTCCTCAGGAACAACACAACCACAGGGGAAGTTTCTTCCTAACTCCAGGAAACAAACTGTCATGAAATACAAGTTTCTATATCCATTACAATTTTATTATCTACTATAAAAGTCAGCATTGTGATCCAAATAAATTTCTTCTGTATCCTCAGAGAGTAGAGCACTGGAAAGGGAGAGATCTGCAGTGCATGGAGACTTTGCAGAAGGCTGCCAGAGAATTTAATTGTTCTGTTTTGTTCGCTGAGGCTTTTTAATGAAAAACTGAACTGGCTGAAGCAAAAGGTTAAAAGCAATAAAAGGTTAAAAGTAATATATCTGTGATGGAGTTCTATGCCCAGAAGGCCCATTCCACTGAAGACAACTGAAAGGTGATATATTTCCATATCTTCAGACCCACAAGTGCTTCAATGAACAGAATTCATCTTTAGCACTCATTTATCTCCTTTGTATGAGAAGCTGTCCTACAGAACTCCTAATTTGTTTTCCTCTGCAGTAAGCATGCTGTTCTGACAGTTTGCAATTTTTTTTTTGATTCTTTCATACTTCCAAACATCTTAAAAAGTGGGATTAATCTGCAAATGGAAGCTGAAATTGGCCTAGTAAAGTAAAATTTAGGTTATACATGGAAAAATGTGCAAACACTTGCTCTCATGTCAAAGTAAATTTGCAGTGGAGCCTACTCTCCTCCTGAGATATTTTATGGCATCAAAAATGTCCAGCTACACCCCTATGAATGAGAAATTCCTCTCACTAAAGGAAACCATGCCAACCAGTGGAGCTCTGTTGTTCCAAAAGCACAAAAGAGCAAGTTAAGCACTTTCTGACAAAAGAGACATTCAGCAGTGAATAATCTGCACCAGGTTAAATGTCTCCTTCTGAGACACACTGTACCATAACTTTGAGGCTGCCTGAAACAAACTAACAATTTAGAAAAAAACAGTAACTCTACCAAGACAGACATTTCAAAGCATGAGTCACTGGGATTCTGGGAGCACTTCCCCTCTGATCAGTTGTCACATTGCATAACATTTCTCCTGTCATCAATGCTACCAGTTTAAGAGTGCCAAAACAAACAAGTAGCTGCATGTGTTAAGACTTAAACATGGGTCCTACATAATCCCACAGCAAAAAAAAAAAAAACAGCAACATACCCAAAGGGAAACAGCCCTTTCCTATATTCAGTATCACTGCTGTAGTGCAGGTAGCTATAAAAGTTCAGCAAGAGCTTTGATCACCCCCAAATGAACTGGACAACTACACCCAAGCTCCTGAGGCACATACAGACATTAATTAACACCTAATCACCATTCATACAAAGTTACCTATCCAGGGCTTCTTTGAAGTACTTCCTCTGCACATCAAACTGGAACACTGTCCTCTCACAGTCTGTCGAGGCATTGTCACCGCCCCCGTGTTTCTTCAGGAATGCATCAAACCCGTTCTCATCTGGGTACTTCAAACTGCCCATAAAAACCACTGCAACAAAAAAATCACAGTGCCAAAATGACATTAATCTGTTAATCCTGACTGCAGATATAGCAACCCCTCTGCTCACAGCTCACAGGCAGAGGAAATTTCTGAATACCAACAGCCTGGGTGATCTGCCCAGTAACTGCTGTAGTTGGCCTCTGACAGTGCCCTCCCAGGCAGGCCTGGCCTCAACCAGGCAAGAACAGTATTTTGAGACACACCTGGTCAGAAACTTCACATGGTTTCTGTGTCCACATTACTAATTCATCACCCTTTACCAGGAGACAAAGGTCTCTAGCTCCAACCTGGTATATAAAGCCACAGGTAACATAATTCCCCTCAATTTAATGGTTAACAACTAAAGTTGATATAAGCTAATGCACACTTGGCAAAGTGTAAGAGACACCTTCTCCCATATTAAGAACTCCTTACTAAGTCAGTATTTGTATAAAATCACAAGCTTATGAAAATAAATGCTCAAATAGCCAAATTAGGAATTGATACTAAATACTTCAGAAATGCAGAGCTACATAGCACCCTTTTTGCACTGAAGCTGGAGAAGATGAAACAGGAGCAGATACATACTATGTTCCAGGAAGTGTGCTAATCCAGGCAGATCTTCAGGATCAGAGAAGCTGCCAACAGCAACACAGAGGGCTGCTGCAGACTAGAGAAAATACAACATTCTCAGTAAAAGCTGTTTCAAGAAACACTTCAGGAAAATGACAGAAGTACAAGATGAATCAACTGGGACAGGCACAATATAAAGGTCACATCTGAACTCCTAATCACAAGGTTTCAGACTTCAAGAAAACTTCACTATATATTTTTGCATCCTACAGCTTAAAGTACATACCTGCTTTTCTGAACAACCTCTCTTTCTTGTCTCTTCCTTTTCAGCCAGCTCTTCTAATTCGCTGTCATCAGAATCATTGAAATCCTCATTATCTCCATCACTGTCCTCACTCTCATCCCCATCATCACACTCATCATCATCTTCTCTGCCATCTTCGATCTCTGCTCCAGAGTCATCATATTCATCACTGCCCTCTTCAGAATCATCATCATTATCCTCCTCCTCCTCTGAAGATGTTGGGGCACCATCCAAGTAATTCAAATCCGAAATCAAAAGTGCACATAAGCCATTCTGCAGTCTGATATACCTGAAAGAATAATTTTGTGCAATGAATAAGTTCATTTCCCAAGTCTTAATTTTCAGAATTGCAAAAATTTCGTTATTTCCTGTAATACTTTGAGAGTGATTTCCTAATGAAAATCTATTGGTAGCCAAGACTGAGCAGTTTTACAGCAGGAAAAGTAAAACATTATTCTGGTATTCAACAGCTCTAGGAGTAAGAAGCAGTTCAGGGCAGTAGCAGAAGCCCTTCTCCCCATAAGGTCAAGCTCACTGGTTTTAGCTTTTATTCTTCTCTTTGTGAAACATTTAAGCTATTAGCACTCAGAACAGGCAAACCCAAACTTCAATCATCTTTTAGGCTTGTCAGGCTTTTGGAAAGAGGGATGATGGGACAGAATGAAGATCTTAGTTGCTGCTTCTAAGTAGGCCCCAGAGCATTTGATTTGATTTGTTTTCATCAATAGTTTATAATAAATGGGGTCTGCAGATGTAGCAGCAAGTGTTAGAAAGGAGAGAGCTCCTCTGCAGGCTCCGCAAAACCAGTCACAGGGAACTGCCTGGGCTCCTGTCAAGAAGCAATAAACAGTTCTGTATGTGTGTTTATACATGCACAGACGTTTTTAAACATGTTTGTGTGTGTATATATATAAATAAAACCCCATAAGCCCTCTGTGCAGCACCCTTCTACAGCTTTTCACTCTGAGGACTGCAAGCACCAATGCTCTGTACTACAAGAGCCCTCATCTGTGTTCATTTACCATCAAATCTGGAACAGAGTCACAATTTATCAAATTAACCACAGCATCCCTACCAGGAGCTTGCACTGGCTAATACACCTGCAGCAGAAAGGAAGAAATGCTAGCTCCAGAAAATACTTCATCCACCCTATGAACTAGTGTGATAGAGACCTGTGGTAATTGATCCAGCAGAAACACACATAGAAAAAAAAAAGCAAGCTAGAATAAAATAAACCCATGGTCACATCCCATGCCCCAGAAAAATCTGAGTTACAGAGCACAGAATTACAGAATAGTGTTTGTTGAAAGGGGCCTTTAGAGGTCATCTACTCCACCCCTGAGTTTGTACCAGGTCAGAACCTTGCAATGTGGATGCAGCTCTTGGACTACCAGTCTATGAAAAAAGCTAATGAACAAATGTCTGATAGCTGTGTTAAGGTTATGACTCATGACCAGTCACCCCAGGGTAACTGACAGAGCTTACTCTGGGCCAGGGTTTCGTGATCATGAACACACCCAGTTTCCTTGCTGCAAGACTGCTGAGCAGGACAAATCTGCCCTACCCACAAGCATAAGTGCATTTTGACTCATTCAAACTATAGCACACACTGTGTAACTTGCAGGGATGCCACGATGAACTGCAGGAGGCACAGAGAGTGCTGGAATGTCTGTGAACAAAGTTAATCCTCCTGCATTCTGAGAGCACGTTTGTGAGCCGTCCCCACCAGGCAGGTGTCCCACCGCACAGCTGAAGCACTCCTGAATGCCCTAAAACACACACTGCACACGTGGGTGCCTCAGCCTCTGGGCAGCTGAGAGCCAAAGCCCCAGACAGCACCTCCCAGCACAACCAGCACTTGTCTCCTCCACACACAACTCTGCTCTGCAGGTTAGCACAGCTCCTGGAGAACCCCAGGACCCCAGCACTGGTGGAGAGCAGAGAACAGAACAGGGCTGCCCCTCCCGAGGAACAATGTGCCATAAAGCTGCTCAGCCAGGTGTATCCAGCTTTGCACAGAGCCCCATTAAGCTAATGGAGCAGATTATACTAATTTTACATTGCTCATCTGGAGGCTGGTGGCTGTTGCACACAGGACAGAAAGCACCCGGCACCAAGGACACGGCTGAACTACCGCTGCTGCTGTTGGAGGCGCTCGGATTTCACTCCAGCATGATTTAAACAGCTTAGGTTCTACAGAGCACAGGCACCACTGACATAGGTGTTCTTTACTTTTTCCATGTTTCAGTCCAATGGAAAAGGACAAATGTAACTAATATCCACTGGTATGCAAAATACAGTACAAAAAATGCAATGGCATAAGGTAGAAACAGAAGCGAGCACAGTGCAATTGCTTTTTTGAAGGACTATACAGCACTGATGCAAGTAAGGCCAAATTATAAAATAAAATTAAAATTCTTAAAAATACTGCTTAAATCTCATGAATAAGTTTAACCAGGATTGCTGTCACGCAAAGTTTTTCTTTGACAATTGTTTAGAAGTTAATATTGAAATACCTATCAGTGCATGGTAAACACTGAGAGAAATGCTATAATCACAAATGACAAGACCATGAAGTTCCATATATAAATAATGTAAATAAAACATACATTTTTGGTAACTATAACTACACAGTTACAGCTCTAATGAGCAAACTTTTATCATGACAAATATTTTGTCCCAACAAACCCACTTCTGAAAATACATCCTGCAATCTACGTCAGAGTAAAATAAGACATTTTCTATTAAGTTAAGACTGATGTCACCAGACATAGACACTAATGTCACTGTGATTGGGCTGCAGCACACATCACTGAAGTGTGAAGAGAGGAAAATATGTAAGCATCATCACATCACCTGCCAGGACACTCCCTCAGGAGGTTTGGGACATCACACCTGGACATCACACAGGTTCAGCGTGGCTTTGCTTCCAGACACACTGAACTTCTCTTCCATAAGGACAATGCCTGTGCTCTGTCAGGCTCACTTGACACACATGGTAATCACTCTGAAAGGATGTAACTCTGTGCTTCCAACTGAAAAAGTCTGTTAAGAATGGACAGTAGGAATTCTGAAATATTTGGTATTAGTTTATGCTATAAGCAAACACTCTCTCCAATTCTCACACGCAGAGAAGGTTCCTGAGCCTCAAAATAGATAGTGACAGCCTTCAGTGGATTTCCCAAGCTTCATCCAGCAGTGTGCTGCTTCAGGCAGCCAAGGCAGGAGTTTTTGAATCTGAGAGCATCAGCAGCTGAGAGCAGGAGGACAAGCCTGCCACAAAGTAGCATGACTAGGAATGCCATCAGGAGAAGCAGGCAGAGATCCAGAGGAAGCAACAAGGACGTAGGGCAAGAAGGGAGGGAGCAAGCTTCTCCCTGAGCCAATGGACACAGTCCTCTTCAGGCAGCCAGCAGGGAATCTCACTGTCAGCCAATGTCACTGCAAATCCAAACTTCAGTTCCAGACTCAGACAGCAGATTCTCCACTGGCTGCACAGATTAGACATCATGAAAAGTAAAGATCAATTTTAAAAAACGGCTCTAACAAGGGCTGGATAATGTTCTGTCTTGGACAAAAAAGTTGTCAGAGTGTCCTTTCAAGAACAGACTGCCTTACAGCATACAACAAGCCCAACCTCGGCTGGAGTTCTCATCCGAGTCTCTTGCTGGGTCTGGGCCATGGATGCCGTGGGCTGTGCTCATGGAAGTTGATCTTTTTCATCACTTTTCAGGGTATTACTCAGAAATATCGAAATAAAAACACAAGCAAAATGGCAGCCTAAAAGCACTTTGCTTCAAATCGCAGATACATTTGTGTTAACACTTAGAAGCTCATCTAAAACATGAAGAGTAACAGTTTTTAAGTCGGAATCTGCTCTGAAATCCTTAAACTGCAAATCCTTAAACTGCATTTTGCACTGAACTCTTTGGAGAGGAGGGCTGCGAACCAACGCTGGATTGGGCACCGCTGTGCCTGGACAGCAGCCAGCCCCGGCCAGCCTGGCACAAGGGCCGATCCTCCCGCCCTGAGCCCGCACACACAGCGGGCAGCCACCCTCAGGGCGAGCACACCCGCGGGCTCGCCAGCCTCCTTCTACCGCAGGCAGGACCCAACGGCCCCGGCCCGGCCTCCGCTCCCCGGGCAGAGCCCGGCCCACCGCACCGGCTGCCCCGGCGGCGGCTCGTCCTCCCGCACCCGCCCTCACCGGTACTGCTTGGGGTCGCTGGGGGACTTGACGATGTCGGGGTCACCGAGGTTGTGTTCGGGACCGGCCCGCCCGCGCTCTTCCTCCTCGTCCCCGTGAGGCGAGCGGCCCCCGGCGTCGCGGCCCCCCTCCGCGGCCTGCTGGCCCACCGCAAGCTCCGGGCTACCGTAGCCGCACGTCGCCTTGTTCCTGCCGGGCATGGCGGCGGTGCCGGCGCTCCACAGCGGCCGGACAACGGCCCGTCCCGGCCGGCAGCCCCCGGCCACGGCCCGCCCGCGGGGACCCCCGGCCGCCGCCGCCCGCCCGCTCCGAGCGAGGGCGGCCGCGAGACTGCGCATGCGCATGGCTGCGCGCCGCTCCTATTGGGGGAGACGAGGCTGCCGGCGTGAGCGGGTGGGGGAAACCATCGATGGGGGAGTGCAGAGGGGGATGTGGCCCCTTTCAAGAATTGGGCGGAGAGGGCAGCGAAATCATAGGGGTGAGGAGAAGGCGGAGGTGAGGATCCAGATTGCGGGGACTGCTCCATCCGCCGTCACGGTTCCATGAGTATGCCCGCCCACCGCTGAGCTGTGCTCCCCTGCTCTCTCCTTGGAACAGTCCAACAACCAGCTGGCGGAAGCCCGCCTCCTGCCCGCAACTCCTTCACCCATTGGTCGGGCTGGCTGTCGCTCAAGCCTGCAAGGACCAATCAGCTCTGGGGGCCGGCCGGCGGCAGCATGGCGGGTTCTGAGGGCGGCCGGTCCCGGCTGGCGGAACGCGGCGTGTCCCGAGCAGCGCGGAGGCCGCAGCCCCGGCTGCTGAGCACAAACCGCCCTTTGTGTGCTTTGCGTGCTCCTTCGGCAGCCGCTGCATTTCCCGGTTCCTGGATATGCTGTTCCCCGTCACACTGCAGCGCCCATGGAGCGGCAGCGGGAGCGCTGTCTCTCGGCCCGCAGCCCCGCTGCTGAAAGCCAAGGCGCGGGGGCAGAGGCCGAGCCTCAGGTAACTCAGCCCGACTGCCCACTGGGCTTTAGTTCCCCACCAGATGGGAGCCAAGGCCCGTCTCCACCCCAGGGTTTCCCTGAGCACAGCACGCTCGCTGTGTTTTGTACAAGCCGCTCGTGAGGAGCCGTCGCCTCTTTCTTTTCACATCCTACTGCCCCTTTTTCACCCTGTAACCAGGCTGCTTTATTAACACTGTTGCCGCTGCCACGCTAACACAAGGCTCTCTGCAAGCCCACATCACAAATCTCGCGTTTACCTTCAGTAAATAAGCAGGTAAGCTTATTTCCCGTGCCCTGACAAATGAGTGTCTCACATTCTGCCATTCCCCTTACAAGTTAATACAAGTAACAATTACTCCTGACTCACCGCTGGTACTGAAACCGGCTGCAGGCCATTTAAGGCAAAAGGCTTTCCCTGTATTTATTCACAGAAAATAGAAGATTAGGCAATTCACAAAATATATATTAATTCAGAGATGTATCAGTTTCCTGTGATTCATTATTTGAAATAAATTCTTCAGGATTTCTGGAAAAACTATTAAGCTTCTCCATGTATGCAATATCATCAGGCAAGGTAGAATTCCCAACTCTTTTCTTCAGACTGCCCTATAGCTACTTGCTGGTTTGGCCTGTGACAAAACAATTCTGCCCATCCTAGCTCAAAGGGCTTGGAATGCACTTGTATTCTTTAAAGATGCTAATCTGACTTGGCCAGAACACAACAAAACAATTATATATTGGGTAGGAAAGGGAAAGGTCTTTTTTGCTACAGGAAAACGAGTAAATGAAAGAAAATAATTGAAATTCCACTTCTGCTGAATCCATTTTCTTTTATCAGGGAGCTGCTGAGCTAATAAATCATTATTTGCACTGAGGTACTAAGTTATATCTGCACAGCTCAAAATCTGATGTGGATTTTTCTTTTTATTTTATTGTTAGTTATACAAGTTGCCCGAAAACCTGCTTCTTTCTACAATTAAAATATTTTAACAACACTATGCATTTATTGGCCAATAATCCTTCTCCTCATTGTACTACACCTATATAGTGATTCCAGATTGCTGGGTTCAAAGACCATCGCCCTGTCAAAGATCAATGTACTTTGATGGATTTTTTAAGCATTAAAAAGATTACTCCACGCACGTGTAGGACTCCTAAAACAAGAAATGCAGCTGACACAAACTCTCTGGCCACACCCAGTGAGTACATTTCTCTTTATTTTGCAGTTTCAGGCATTTAGATACAACAACCACAGTCCCAGCACTGCACAAATCACACTCTCAGGACGAGATCACACACACCCAGAATGTGCCACAGTAGAGATTCCCAAAAGCAACAGACAGAGGCATCAAGCCTTTAGCACAATGAGCTCAAACCACTCCAAAAAAGTTGCATTTTTGTCTAGAGTTTTGTGCTTTTCTTCTTAGAGCTATTATACTTTGAGACACAACAGAAGGAAATTACAAAAGCACTCACTGGTGTCATGATCCAGCACATTACAGGGCAGTGGGCAGGCACTCGACTCCTGTTCCTGACATCAGGAAGTCCTCTCAGTCAGAGGAGATCACAGATCAAAGGTAAAAGCTTTTTAGAATTTTCCCCTTAAGACAACCAACTTCTCTCCATATCCACTTAGTTTAAAAATTTTGCCTCCCTTCAAAGCATGATGCCACAAGAAGTTGACAGAATAACAGGATGTCTTTGCTACATTTCATTTGCAGTTGTGTTTTATTAGTCACTCGTACTTTCCTTAAATTATACTTTGTGGTTGAATCTGAACCCAGAAAATCTAGCCCCCCACCCATCTAGAACAAGATTAAAAAAATAAATCAACAACAAAATGCAGAAAGAGAATCTAATAATATTGGCACAAATACCTGCCAACACTCACATTTTGGCTTCTGGCTTCTGATATTTTTATCTCTCTGAGACAGTGCTGTTCCATATCTTACATGTTTTTGCCTCCAACTAAGCATTCAGCAGCCAACTCCCCTTTTCCTTCATCCTGCAAGATGAGAGAAGATCCAAACTTGGAGAGGTATAACTACAGGATACAGGGGAAAGGCTGCAGGACAGTCAGACTCTGGGGAGAGGGGATTACCCCCAGCACTCTGCAAGTTGTGCTGGAGAAGTTTGGAGGCAAGGACAGCTCCTGGAAGGGCTCTTACACCTTCACTCAGCACCAGCCAAAGCACAGGGAAGGAAGGACAGGGATGGCTGCAAGGCCTCCTCCTCCTCCCCAGCCTGGCAGCTTTGATTCCTCCCTGTGTTCGTCATCTGTTTAGAGACCTGACACAAAACCCAATCCCCTTCCTCTTCACACTCTGGAGGACCTCACACTGTCAGACAGAAATGCTCTACTTTCTGCTCCATCCTACAGAAAAACTGAGGTCCATGTCCGGAGGACAGCAACAATTCTCAAAATATCTGGGAATTGATTTTTTGTTTGGTTTATGTTTTAAAAAAAAGCTTATTCTTGTTTTCTAAGAGATTTTCCCCTTTCTTCTCTTAGACCAGATCCCCTCTAATTGGTTTTTGTGCTTCATGCTGTTCTTTACAAAAACACTCTTTCTGCAATAGAGGAATTTATAATTTTAAAATGCAACATTCTCTGTAGAAATAACATTTGCATCACTACACTATTATTATTCTTCAGTGTAACTCACATTCACACAAGGTCCACTTACAATATTTTTTTTCATATTATTAAATTATTGGATGAGGAAATATATAATATTGACACTCCAGCACATTAAACAAACATACCAGTTGCCTACAACAGACATTTCTGCCTCTGGACTACATGATAATGCACCACCACAAATGAAAAGATAAAATTTAATCAGGGGGACAAGGACATTTCTCAGTGTGAAAGGTCACTAGCACGAGCAGTTCTGCTGTGAAGGGGGGGGGTTGTCTGTGAGCCTCATGCTCCTTCCAGAAGTGCCCCTGGAATTGTCTGATTCTATGCTCTCTGACATCTTCTCACAGATGATATCCACGAGACGCTCAAACACCTGCCTCACATTGATGTTTTCTTTGGCACTGGCTTCGAAATAGTCAAAACCTGGAAAAAAAGGGAACAAAAATTATCAATACAGATAATCATGATGGTTTTTAAAATACCATCTTTTTCAGTTTATTTTGCACTAAGCTCCATTCTGCCGTGCTTCATTATGGGGATATTGTGCATTGCAGCAGTTTCCTTTGATTCTGCCACAAACAAAGAGAAAATTTGTCTTAACTGATTAGTGTGCCACTGCTGGCAGGCTGAGTCACCTCGATGTGGGGGATAAGTGGGTGTCCACCCCTTTTGGACCCTTTTTAAGATTCATGGGACAAGGGGTGAAGTGATGAAGATGTCTGCCCTGTTAGCAAACAGGGAGAGCTGCCCGGCATCAGATGAGGGTTCTGTCTGCCCCACTTGCTGTTTTGATGATGAATAAAAATGTATATAAAAAGCATAGGAAATCAGAGAACTGCACTTAGATATCTGTTATTCCAACATCGGCATAGGTTCTGCTAAACCAATCTGGTTTGGTTCATTTCACATTCAGGCTAACAACAATTTCTTAATCTGATTAGGGAATTATTTCAATGATGTTAATGTCACTATGCAAATTTAGATAAATATGCTGAGGGATAACCTTTATGTGAATCATTATGATGAACATTAGCACTTTAAGCAGTCAATAACCAATTAGATTCCTCCCACGTAACTCGCAAAATAATTTCATATAATGCTGTACACATTTGCATAGCTACTATAAGGAAAAACTGATCTGATCAAATCAGATTTTTTTTTCAGCTCTTTTAAAAAGAGTGTTTTGGAAGTTGGGAGGTTACAGAAGAGCAGAGCTGGGACAGCACTTCCCAAAGGCTGTTGGGCTGCTCTGCACTGGAGTGGGTTCTCCAGGGTGAGCTGGGCAAGCACCAGGTTGGGGCAGCACTGTGGATTCTTCTGCAAAACAGTTTCCTCTTGATGGAATCAGTTGCCATGGTAACCCTGTGAGTGTGTGTGTGTATGTGTGTGTGTGTGTGTTTTGAAGTGCCCCACATGTAAAGGATTCAGATTCTAGAGGCTGAGTTTGTATTGAAACAAGGAGATGAATTTTGGGATGAGAAAAAAAAACATTGGGAGTCCAAATTGGGTTGGGAGTTCAAATAAAACTCTCCATTTGCTGCTACATTGGTCTGGACAAAATTTCAATTATTATCAGTGTAATTATTCCTGTGAGATGGGTGGACACACAGGCATCCACAACTTTCTGAGAGTCTGCAAGCCAGGAACTAAGTCTATTCATATTCATATTTTCAAAAGCAGATTTAATTTTTATAGGTAAAAAAGAGCCCATAACTGACTTTGCAAACTAACCATATCTTTGTTTGCTTTGCCAATCCTACATGTAAAGATTTACTCTTACAATAATAACAATGGTCTAATTTGATATTTGCTTGTTATTTGTTTAGGAAGGCAGTGCCTCAAGGCTCCAGCCACGAATGGGACCCCTTTCTGTGTGCCATACATAGGATTTACACTTTCAAGGCCACACTTTAAACTGCACCAATGTAAGCAGTGTGTCCTAGAACTCCAGTGCCCCCAGTTTAACAGTTTATTATGCACCCTCCAGTTACTGTTTAACAATTGAAGACAACACAGGATTTTATAAATTGAGGATTATGGTGATTCTTTTGGGTCTGGCAAAAATCCCTGCTCTTACAAGTTAAACATTTATGCCCACTGTAAGGGTCTCCACTGTTACATTAAGGAAATTTTAGCAGGATTTACTTGTTACTTTGAATTCTTCAACAGAAAACAACAGTATAGTTAAATTTTCACACAGAGCCCTGATTTCATATTAAAAATATCTTATAGGCTATAACAGATAATGAAAAGTGATAAATAACTTATAAAGTAATATGAGTTTACTTGACTCTTCCTTATAAAATTTTCATTGCAATCCCATCTTCCTTTCAATGGAACTGTTTTGCTTTTTCTATCCCATATCAAAAACATAATGTCATTTTCTTACCTGGATAGAGAAGCCTAATACATTTTTAAAATATGTTTTACTCAATTTTTCAGTTCTGATATATAAACTTCTTTCTTTTTCATTGTTTACTTTAAAAAAATGCTTCAGCAAAAATCATTATTTGCATTGATTTGCAATGAGTACATGGTACTTGGACACACAGACAGAATTATGTTTATGAAAACTTCTTCTCTTTTCATTCTTATGAGCTAATAAAAGTTTTTATTTTCAGATAAAATTT